TGGATGAATTCCTGACACAGTTGTCGGTAAATGGACAGGTAAGCTATAATTTAAGATCAACAAAAATCACAGTCTCTGACGTAAGACAATACCTTCCTCGTATTCAAACAAGTATTGATCAATCTGCACAATAATTTATTGATGATTTCACACCATTTTATGTACCACATCCTTTTGATTGTCTTGTTTTTATTAGAATTACAACAAATCTTTGTGTGTTATTCTGATCTGCTTATGTCACATCTTGTCAGGTTCCAATGTTCCAATCTGTTGTGAGAGATCTTATCATGAACAAGACCTTCATCATCATCAGTCCACACTTCTCAAGCTTAGTTGAAAAGGACTTTGAACTTTGGTTCCATGTCAGACTGGTTTCAATTCTTCCAAGTTTGACACCAGAGATGCTCGGGATTACGATAACAAATTTAAACTGCACCAACTACCACATTGTGTAAGTAGCACTTTAACACTCAAATATTAAATCTGTCAGAACACAAATTGCTTTTGCAGGACTCTAAGAGTTTTTCTTTAATGTTTCCAGCGTAAGCGGGATAGCCAACATCTTCTCTGCCATACCAGTTCAAAGACAACAACAAATTACTGATGTTCTGCTGGCCTACTTAACAAAATATGTGGGTGTCATCAACAAGCCAGGTAGGATTCATAAATTTATTATTTTCATATGTCCATGTTTCTTATAATATACAAATATATATGGACCTAGTCATCATTGTATCTTTTTGCTATTTAAAAAAATTCACAATGTTCACTGAATATTTTCTAACTGATAAAAGTAGCAATATGAATGAAATGGCTTAAAATTAACTAATAAAGTCAGTCACTGTTTTTCAGTTATGGTAAATTAAAATAAAACAATTATTGAATATGTGACCTTTTTAAGGTTTTTTTTTTTTTAAGAACAGTGTACAAATAACTTTGCTCGCATCTGTACATATAATTTTGCATGTTCTAAATTTTGTGCATGTCGCTTAGTTTGCAGAGTGGACATTCAGACTGATGCTGAATGGATCGAAGCAAACCTGGGTCCCTTTTCTCAGTTCACAACTTACTCTGACCTCAAAGCACTAAATCTCTCAGATGTAAGTCTATTTTTGTACATGAGATTGCATACAAGATAAGTAGTTATTTACTGAAGTATTTGCAAAATGTATTATTGTCCTTTTCTTTATTTACACAGCAAATTACCATAAACATACCCATCCCATAAGTATAAATTCTCTTTTGTTACCTATATTTTTTTATAGGATGCAATTTTGGACTCATTTTCTTCAGAACAAAAAGCTGAACTCCTTCTTGAACCAAACAACCTGTCAAATGAGACTCTTGTGATACTTGTATTTACAAAACTTACCATTTCGTCATCTTTAAGTAACCTAGAGTCCTTCTTTGACACATTTGTTCATGGTGCTGAACAAGTAAGTATTACTTTGTTTGTTTTTTAATATGTTTTTCCTGAGGTCATCCTGTGACAATATCCTCATTTCTTTTTAGCAAAACCTGACTGCAGTTTCCCCTAAAGTGCGTGCTACTATCCTGAATCTGACATTAACGGCACTTGGCCCAAAACTTGTTTTGCTTAATGATGAGGGCTTCAAGTCATGGTTTCAGGTTTACCTTCCTCTTTTCCTCCCAAGTGTTGATTCTAAAATATTTGAGATCATACCGAGAAATATCACCTGTACATCCTACCAAGAAATGTGAGTGAACAGTCTTTTTTTATGTGTTGATTTGAACCTGATTTAGAAATATACACTATAATGTCACACAATTTGGTTTAAATAAATTATGTTGTCTTCTCAGCATCAAGGGGTTTGACCAAATCTTCAGTCAGCTATCCATGAGACAGATTCAGCAGGTTTTCATGTTCATATTGGACTATCTCAAGGGGCAATTGTTCTCAGGTAACTTCAGCATTCTAACATTATAACAAGTGTTGCACAAGTTCACTTTTCACAAAAATGTTCAGTTCCAAAGACGAGCATTTGATAATTATATATTTGCATTTAATTTTTGGAATTAAGATTAGAGTCCCAAAACAACTAGTTCACATATTTTTTTTATCAACATCATACAAATTATTAAGAAGCATTTCAAAATGTATATAATTTGTTTAGCATAATTCTGATGAGTTACAATGCACTTTTTTTCTGCTCTCTGCCACCATTTAACATCTGTTTGCTTTCTGATTTAGGCAAGTTTCCAATAAAGTTCCCTTTACTCATTTGTCCTTTTTTCTTGTCTGATGGCTAAAACTGTCGGAAATGTGACTGACAAGTAGCCCAATAAGACCGCTTTAAATATTGCTAACTTTTAAAGCACAGACACTTTTAGACTTTTCATATTTGTTTGTTTACTGCACAAAGCTTCCAGCTTTGAGAGCTAAAGCTTCAGCCTTCAGTTAGGATGTGCCATGTATTTAATTTTAATAAAGTAATAAAGTTTTTGTTTTAAATACATGTTATCCATGACAAGTCCACACCAAGATGTTCATACAACAGCCCAACCAGATGTTGCTTAAATGGCAGACAACTACAGCCTCAATGACTTTCTTTTGTATTACTTTGTTAAGTTGGGTTAAAAGAACTATTAGTTTATGGCAAACGAGCTATAAAAGTCTGTTAAATGTTACTAAAGTGTTTAAGTTCAGTTCTGATTTTTATTTTTGTTCTGTTCACAGTACACAGTAAATATCAATGTTTTACTTGCATAACAATGGTTATAACATCTTTTTATAGATACCTGCCTCCAAATCATGTAAAATCCCAGCTTTAGATTGTGTGACATGTTCAATCTAAAGATGTTAACTCTTTCATTCCTAGGTTTCTCGTGTGTTGAACCTGGAAATGACGACAGGAGCTGGCTTTTAGACAACTTTGGTCGGTTCAGTTTCCAAGCCTCCATTATGGATTTTGTGTCCTTAAAAAGCAGTTTCAGTGGAGTAAGTAAGGCATTTTAATAGTTAAATAAACCTGATTTTGATTGGACCTTCATTAAGATGTATAAATTATTAACAAAGAAAAACATATACCTAATATTTTTTGTTTCTTACTTACCAAGTTCAGTCTTATACAGCCAGGGGGAAGGGTTGTTGCAGTGTTCACCAGAAGAGCATTTAAATAAAATAGTTATTTATTTAATTATTGAATTGGATAATGCTAGGAGAAATGTTGGATTATTCTATCAGCTAGTTATTGAATGGATGAATCTAAGCAAAGCCTGAATATTTAACATTTTGTAAAGAAACAACATCAGCAAGTTGTGATGAGCTATCACTATACAGAAATTAAGTCTTATACTTTGAATATCATAAAAATAAAAACAAATTCAATACATCTATTAAAAAAACATTGATTGATCGTATAACTTTCATACTGTTATTTTAATGTCAGCTCCATCAGTTACCACATTTAAGACTAAATAGGAATCTTTAAATCTAAAACAGAGAAGTGTGTTTATTCTAAAATCACTTTTTCTTTGATACTTTAAAGACAAAGAGTTATGTAACATGAGGACTTTTTTGCTGAAGTAAAACGTAATGATGTGCTTAACTGGTTGGGTTGTAGGTGTTGACTTAGCGTTTTGCTGCTTGCATCTTCTAGGTGGAGGCCGCAGACATTCTCACTTTCAGTCAACTGAGCGAGCTTGCTGCAATCCCCTCACAACTGAATAGGGCACAAGATGTGACAAGAATAATGAGTTTCATCAACACTGCTGACTTCGGAGCTTTCTTTGACAACATCTCAACAGCCATTAAGGTAAACGTGAAATATAGTATTATTTCATCAGGAAATATTCTTTGTCGTTTCCTTGCGATCCTGATTAGAGGACAATCTAGCGACCATAAAAATTGCATTACTAAGACTTATAGATAATAAATATATATAGATATTTTTCAAGTCAAGAATTGAAAAATGTGGGTGATTTAGTTAATATTAACACAAAATACGAAGCTTTTATTGTTTTATAATAAAAAGTGGTACTATACTTTCTCGATCTAAATAACTTGTTGATGAAAAAATGTGAAATTTTAAAATACTTTAAAATTTTTAATTGTTTCAATTGGGATATAGTGAAGAACAATTTTAAAGGTAGAAATTTTTCAATAAAACAAATTAAAAAAACTGCAATTTTAAGTTATTTTGTAGCGTTTAATAATGGCAAAATCACCCTTTCAGTGTCAAGCTTTAAGAGTTTTATCACTGAGAATCAACATGCACATTATGAAAGTTGTTATGATTTTTACAAACTTTCTTGTCGCTTCAAACACTTGAACAATATAAAACACAAAATTGGTAATGATACTGGAAAACTAGACAAACAAAATCAACTTAACCAATGTGAAAATGGTCATTTATATTTAAGATTTTTTTAATGGATGCATTACATTTAACATTCATGATGTGTGGTTCCAAATATAAACAGGTTTAACTCATCCAAATCCCCAAAAGCTGTTAAACAACTATTCTTTATCTGGTAAAATAAAGGTTTTGCTAGTTCACAGCTGTTGGATGACAGTTCAGTGCAGCTAGCAAAACTGCAATTTTTAAACCGTTAACATTCAGTCTCCAACAGTTTCTTTAAGTAAAATAAACCAAATAAAATAAAAACGTATTTACTTTGGGGTTTGCCTCATTAGTCCTGGTGGAATATTAGAGTTGATGAAGAATATTGTTGTCTTCTACTTCAAAAATGAGAGAGTTCTGCAAGCATTCATGTGACTCGAAATCAAACAGAGATGTTTGATTGACAGCGGTGTTTGATGAAAGTGGTATGGTCCACTTTAAGGGTGTCCGAAATCAAAAATCTTCAAAATATTAATTAATAACATAGATAAAATTAATTACATTTGTTATTTTGAGTTTATAAATATTCTAAACCTTGAAATGTTTTTACTTTTTTAAAGGGATTGTTTAAAGTGTTACAGTAGTACATTCCCTCCCCCTGTTTTCTTGTGTATTTTGAACTGTTCCACTTTGGAAAAAACAATAATATAATTGACTGTCTTTGGATTTCTGTCCTTCTTTTTAAAATCTGTGAGGTCGGTAGTTCATAGAATATCAAGTTGGAGAGAGTCCTTAGATCATTTCCAGAAAAAAAAATAAAAGGAATAAAAACATTAGTAATTTTATCACAATTTTTTTTTTTATGGATGCTCAGATATTTTATATTGTCATCTTGGTCTTGTTTAAATGAGGTATTAGGAGTTATGATGTATTTAAATTGTATGAAATAATATGTCACAAGTATACAGTATGTTACAATCATTTTATGGGTCAGGAGTTATAAACAAAACATGTCAACACTTGTGCTTGAGCTTTAGAATAAAACATAGAAAAAAATGGTCAGAGCAGAAATTATAACTGGTCAAAGATTATTATCTCATGTATTAATTAATTAATGACTTGCTCCTTAGTGCGCTACCAATGGTGTTATTTATTTTTAATAAGTGACTCCACATGCTTTTATTCTCTGTTTTCAAATACAAATTCAGTAAATGGCTAACTGATTTAAAGTAAAGTACATTATATTCATCTGTACAATTTCATATGCCTCTTTTTCACATTAAGTAATTTTCCCCACAGGCCCAGTCAGCCAGCTACACACAGGAGGTGAAATCCGCCTTCCTCCAGGTGGTGTTTGACAGAGCCGGTCTCTCCTCCCCAGCTGTAAGCGATGGGGAGTTCCTGCTGTGGCTGAGGGTGCGACTGAGGCCTTTACTGGTCGACCTCGCTCCAAGTTTAGTGGCACAATTTATCAGCATCGGGACAAACAGGAGCTGCAACAGCACCCAAGAAATGTACGCATGCACAAAATCAATTTACAGTCGAATTTATTGCATGGTTGGTGAAATCACAGAGTAATAGGTATTGTTTAACTGGTTGATTCATCCTTCTGTAGGATTGCACTGCTGAACACAATGCAGTCGACACTCAGCAAGAACACACAAACAGAGATCTACAAAAACATTGTCCTCTTCCTCCAAGGTTTGTGTAAAACCAGCAGAAAAGCTACTTAAGTAAACCTTAAAAATCCACATAACACTAAAAACAAAATCTGTAAAGTTTATTTTGGTTGAGGTATGTTTTTTCTTGTACACCAAGTAATATATTTTACTTTGAAAAGCAGGTCCAGCATCCCTGAAATGTTACATGGGTGGAAGCTTCTACATCTTCCTGCAAAGCACATTCCTCAGCTACGGCTTTCCAGATGTGTCAACATTCGTATCTCTTCTGCCACCAGCGCGCAAATCTGAGGTAAAAAAGAGAATAAAAAAACTCATACAAATGCAGAAGGCAGTTTATTTCCATGATTATAGCTGCAAATCAAAGCAATACTTTTGTGAGAAAATGTATATATTTCTTCTTCTTCAGCTCCTGAGTACCATCAGCACCTCCGAGCTTCGGCAGTTCCTCAGTCAGCCTGGTGTGATCAATAACACCTCAGACGTCTGTGTCATCTTCAACAGCTACAACAACACAAACGCCTTCCTTGAAACTGTATGTCCCTCACTTCAAATAAACACCAGAAACATACAAATTTATATGTTGTGGCATTCAAGTGGGAATTGTCTGTTTACTGTTTCTTTAATTGTGTGACTTCATCTGTATGGTTGCTGTAGGAGGCCGTTTCTGATGATCTGAAGCAGGTGATCCTCCCCTGTGTTTGGCAGTTTGCTCTGAGCAGCAACAGTAGATCTGAGGCGAATTTATGGTTTGATGTTCGGTTGAAAAACTACCTGAGATTCCTCACAAAGAGCCTCATCAGCCCAACTCAAGTGCAGAACGCCTCGTGCTTTGCCTTCCAGAAACTGTAGGTCTTTTTTTCTAACTGAGTCATAAAAATAAACTGACAGGATCGATGCAGCTCAGTTTACATGATTTTCTTTCAACAGGGTGTCTTTTATGGGAAATACCTTTGTGTACACCAGTTCTGATTTTGGACGGCAGGATGTGTACACCACCATCAGTAGCTATTTGACAGCCAGTAAGATTTTTTTTTTTATATATATATAATAGTTTCAATCATCTCTTTTTCTCAAGCTTTTACCAATAAAACTATTACTATCGTATATTACTTGGACATTACTACAATTATTTGCTGAAATTCTAAACCTGTGCTGTTTCAGTAGGCTCTGGAGCCAGATGCTATAACTCCAGCAATCCAGAACTCAACTCTGTCTCCTGGTTTGTCAATAACATCGGCAGCTTTGTGACTTTTATCACTCTAGGTGATTTCACCAGCTTTGGCTCCGCCTCTCAGGTACATTCTCATATTATGTTACATTTAATGCTAACCTTCAGCTTGACTTTTTTAATTGCTCTATTTGGCAAATGTCTAATTCATTTTATTTTGGAAAATCTATTGACAAACAGATAGCACAGATTAATTTTAACCCTTTCTTATCCAAGAGGCAGAGTAAGGGAAATTAAAACCTGATACCTTTGAGATTAAATAATATAAAGCATCCCTATATTTTAAGGAAGTGTTGCTAGGCTTTATGGGAAATAATCATATAGTCAATTAATTGTCAATTTGCAAGTCACTAATTCTAGTGTTTTAGTTTCATAAAATTAACAATCTTGAAACCTAAAATGGTACACCAGGACCTGATTTTTGCATTTACCTTTGTTTGATTTTATTGTTTTGTGTATTTTAGACTCAGGTGTTCTTGGAGGACACAGCCAATCTGGAGCTGTTCAACAACATAAATATCTCAGCAGATGTGAGAGACTACTACATCGCACAGCTTTATACATTCAACCTAACCTTCAAGGTTCTCAAGTAAGTGTCCAACATAGATACAAAAATATATGTATGATGGGTAAAAAAAAGAAAGTGAATTAATGTAATTGTATTAACATTTTTACACATCCATATAATTAGGTAATGTCTCTTTTTGTTCAGTCTCCCAGGAATTTTGTTGTGCTCTCCTGACATCCCAAGTTCAGAGTTTTCTTCTCTTAATGAAGCTGACATCATGGTCATCCTGGACAGGAGGAAGCAGTTCTGTGGCAAAACTGTAGACCCTGAGGTACCGACTCAAAAAACTACTAAACATCCACTGAGTTTAAAAGTTCTGTTCAGTGACTCAAACAAGTTTCTCTCAACAAAAGCCTCTATATTTTGCTCCATTCTATGTTTCCTTCATGTTTGACTTGTTTCCCAGACCCTGACAATGAAAACCTCCCCAAAACATGATGCTACCACCTCCATGCTTTACTGTAGGGATGGTGTTCTTGGCATGATGGTACATGTTGGAGTTGTTCTGATAAGCCTCCTTATTTAACAACTTTTGTGGCTTCTGAAGGTCATGGCTTCAATTTCAAAGCAGAATACACATTCATGCACTAATTTTGGTTTTACAGTAGTCCCTCGATACTTCACGGTTTGACTTTCGGGGTCTTTCGCAGGTTTTCAACGTAAGATTGTACACAACACACGATTGGCGATGGGGAAAGACAGACCCCGCCCCTCCTTTCTTTTTCTGAGGCTGTCTGCCTGCTCTGCTGTAACAGACAGCCTTAGAAAGAGAAAGTAGGGGTGGGGCGGGGCGGGGTCTGTCTTATACCTAAGTGAGCCACATGAGCGGCATGGATTGTTTTTTTTTTTTTAAATGATCAAGTGCGACCCGAACCGAGCCCTTCTCTCTTTCGCTGTGCTCTTTTAGAGCATTTAGAATTGAGAACATTGTTAAGAACATTGCAAGAGTGCGGGAAGGGTTTATAAATCATTAAAATATATATATACTGTAAATACTAAAATAAATATAACATCCGTACTTTATGGATTTTCACCTATCGCAGGGATGTCTGGAACATAAACCCCATGATAAGTGAGGGACTAATGTATATATTATTAGAAGTACTGGAAAGAATTCTCTAATTTATCTTTAACTTCCTTGGCTTTAAGTATGACTGGAAGGCATCAAAATAGAAAGGGTACAAAAAGGCATAAACACTCTCACAACCCACTGAAATTGTTAATTTCTTTGATTTGTTTTATAGGTTGGTTGATTGGTTTTAAAAATAACAAAACTTCTGATAATAAGTTGGTTTTGATCAACGAAATTGTGTTCAACTAAACTTCAAATGGTGCAAAACACCAACTATGCTGCAATAGTTTTAGCGTGATAGCCCCTTTGCAATTGGTTTTTAAACGTTTTCAACCAAGTACATATTAAGACTTTCTGAATACTGATCACTTTGGAAATTTTACACATGTATGTTCTGAATTGGGTTTTATGGAGGTTTTTTTATATGATCAATTTAGAAATTTGTTTTCTTTTTGATGTTTGTGATTTTAATTTTTCACAATGAATTATTTGGGATAAACTAATGTTGGATAAATTTTCTTCAATAGGTAAATGCTGCTTTGACATCCAACATCAAAACCTTCACAGCGCAGACGTTTATAAGTCTCGGGAGTGCCGTTACGAGCATGACCAGCGTCCAGATCACTTCCGTGTCCTCGTCTGTGCTGGTTGCCTCGTTACCCACTCTGGGATCAGTGGCAAACTGGACTCAGGACAAGGCTGCAACCATAATCCAAACTATCACCACCTCAGGCTACCAGGTAGGAGCAGCCCTCTTATTTAACCTGATATATGTGTGTATTTAACTAAACAAATATTTCATTTAGTATAGCTTTATAGACCCAGAAGTAGTTTTAAGTTTAGAGAACAAAGATTTATTGTATGAAAATTTATTTGACAGATAAACAATGCAGTCTCCCTGGAATCCATCGGCACACTTATTATTGGAGTTCCTTCAGATTCAATAAAGAAAATCCCAGCTTCTGAACTTCTCACCGCCTCTAAGAACCCCATCGTTGTTTCCAACTTGATAGATGCTCCAAAAGTTCTTCAGGAGACATTTGTCCAAAAGGTACAAAAATAGCCTTACTTTCACTGGACATGATTTGATATAATGTGCAATGCAAGCTAAATTGATTGACTACACCCTTGCAAATACACAACTAACAATAAAATGCACGTAACTGTACTTGACAGATCATTTCTGTGGACCCAAGTCCGGCCAAAGTGGTGGAGAATGTCCCTGATACCTTGGCAACTGTGATCCCACCATACAAGCTGATATTCCCTGAGGGAACTGCTAACATCAACCTCATTAACCAAAAAACATGGACACAAGATCAGGTCAGTGCTACTTTACATGCAGAGTACTGTGATGCTGATGTATGTGCAAGTATTTCATAGAAGTGCAGGAAACTATGTTCAGTGTAGTGCATTTACTCAAAAGTTAGTTACTAGCTGATTATAACTCATTTTTTCTTCTTGTTTTTTTTAGTCCATCATGTTCCTTATGACCCTGGCTGAAACAGACTATGATGCTGAGCAGTAAGTAAACAAATCCTACAACTGTTTCCTATTATCTCATGCAGTCTTGAGAGGTAAATTGTCTGTTAGCAAAATATCTCCTGAACCACAAAGTGTAGTTTGTTAAAACTTACAGAAAGTAATAATTGGATAAACATCTACAACTGTTTGTTTTAGAGTTAACCTGATTGAAGGTGGCCACCCCAGCTAATCAAACTGAACAAACACAAACATGTCTGTAACTCTGTGATTTCCACAAATACTGAGCTCAAACTTGGTGTGCTGTTAGCTAAAAGTCTATTTTACTTCATACACTGAGTGATCACAGATGGTGCAAAGATTTTGTTTATAACTTTGACATACAAGGCAATGAGCAATAGGAAAATCTCTCAAATTAAAGTTTTTAAATAAAATCCCTGTCTGAGTTAATATCTTTCTTTGTGGTTTTGTAGGCTTTCTCCATCTGTGCTGCAAGGCTTCACGTGCACGTCAGTCCAGAAACTGACAAAAACTAAGATCGGGCAGTTGATCCGCTCCTGTAGGCCAAGGAACAGCAGAGCCAAGGTGGAACTGAAAGAGTCACAGGTATAATCTACAAGAATCTAATGTAATGTTTTAAACTAAAATAAATGCTGAAATTAAGATAATTGCGAAGGATAAATCATTAATAGAACATCAACCTCAGAGTTTGGCGTTTGGGACTATCCACTAATCTGTGAGAAATTGTCTACTTTAGTAAAATGAGCTTTTATTTTATTAACATAACATTGTCACCTCCAGCTGACCTGCATGTACAACCTGCTCCAAGGAGATCTCAGTCAGAGCTTCACAGATTATCCCTCAGACTTGCTTCTCTACTTCAGGTAAAGTCTTAATTAAAATCAGGATGTTTCTCATTTGGACAATTAAAGTGTTGTTTGCTGACCTTCTGACTCTTCTTAATGATTTCCTTAAAGCAATCAAAACATCCAGAAAAGCAACTGCAGATCCTACTTTTCTGCACTCGGTGCTGCAGACTTCACGGTGGCCTCCAGTGCATTGAACAAGGCACAACAGCAGCTCAGTCAAGCCAGGTCCTGCTTGGTGAGTGCATGTAAAAAAAAAAAAAGAATATGAAAGACTGCAACATGAAATATATATTTATATACTGTGCTGTATTCATAAAACATTACATTTTACAAATGAAAGTCATTACTGAGGCTGTAGTAGTTGTTTAATGAAAAAGTTTCACTTACAGATTGTATATTTTTATATTTTAGGGTATAAATAGCTTCACCCTGAGCAGTGACCACCTGGAGGTTCTGGGGAACATGGTCTGCACTCTGGACAGTTCTTACATTGAGAACTCAGATCTCCTCATCCTGGAAAAACTTAAAGTCTGCAAGGACTTCTCTGGCAGCCAAGTCGCTGCTATGGAGAAGCTTCTGATTTCTGGGAAAACAAAATACGGGTACAAAAAACAAATCTACTCATTAAGCCTGAAAACATAGTCTACGGTTTTAGGTTATCTGTTTAGGGTCAGGGAATGTTTTATTCCAAAACTGAATTTACTGTCAAGACAAGTATATTAGGGAAGTTTTCATGTAGGTAATTCATGGGTGGGTTTCAAAATTTCTGTTTCTTCAGTCATTTATTAGAACCTCATTTCAGCCTGATGTTTATTATTTATTAATTAGAGATGTGTTCATATTAACCTTAAAGTTCTACTCCTTTTTTAAAGCAAAGTAGCTGTCTACATTTAAAAAAATATTTAAATTATTCTTAATTTATAGAAATGTTGCCAGCTGGAACCAACAAACACTAGAGAACCTTGGTATTCTTCCTCTGTACCTAACAAGAAACTTCTGGAGTTACTTCAAGCCCGTATGTCTCCATCTTTTCTCATTATTTTTTTTTTCAGTGTAAAGATATTCATTTACTGTGTTGTATGCAAAACAACCTCACATTGCAGTATCGTTTGAGTGAAACCTATTTATTTTTGTTTTGTTTTTCTTCAGACAACCAAGAAAACATTCCTTAAAGGCTTTTTACCAACCCTAAGGAAAGAAAAGACTCAGAAGACGAAGCTCAAGACGCTGTTCAAACAGGTCACCTCTCTTGTTGTAAAGAGAGGAGCAGGTAAACTTTATTTTTAAACAGACACCAAAACTGAAGCTGAAACGTTTTTTGTTAAAACATGCATAATCTGCTGCATTAGATCTCACAGTGATCTCACTATCTCTGTTATGTTTAGGCTGCACAGTGGGCAACATCACTGAAGTTACCATCAGCGACCCTTCCTTCCCCTTCGGCTATGACCTGTCTCAGTTTGACCTCTGCCTGGACGTCCCTGTTCTGAAAGAAAACCTGAATGCTATCTGTGAGAATGTGGATGATAACGACTACCAGACAGTCATCCTGGGGAAACTCAACCAGGTAATTGTGGAATATGTGGCGATTTGGAGGAGGTGGTGTGTGTTTTCTGACTTTAGAGTCACAAACCAGTCACTTTATTATTAAATTATAGCATTTAATTTGGAACTTATGAATCTGCACAAGCTTTCAGTTCAATTAAAACATGTTTTCTATGTTACTGCACATTCTCTGTACTTCCAGGCATACCCATCAGGAGTTTCTGATCAGGACGTCAAATCGCTTGGTTCAGTGTCTCGTGTGGCATCACTTGAGGACATCTCTAAATGGAACATCACTATTATTGACACCCTGGCAGCTCTCATGAAAACTGAAGATGGACCCTGGGACCCAGCACAAGTATGACTACAGTTACCTTTTCCTTTTAGCCATCCTATTTGTTAAAAAAAAAAAAAAAAAAAAAAAAAACCTGCAGAATGACTTTTTTATAACTGTTTATTGTTGTTGCTGTTGTCCGTTGTTGTCATCTTTCTTTGTTGAGATCAGGTCTCTCTTGTAAATGAGTCCTCGAGGCTCAATGGGATTTACCTGTATAAATAAAGGTTGATTGATAAAATCTTTACTTGTACATGAGTATAATTCCTTGCTGTGTTTTCCTTCATGTTTAGAGCAAAGCGATCATCATGAAGTACCTGAGTACCTCTGGGAACTCCCTGGGCAGCACTGAGCTGGACATTATTGACTCCAACCTGTGCTCATTAGACCCCAGCACACTGAAGACCATAACACCAGACAGTATCAAGTGGGTGTCAGTATTTAGAAAAGTAGGAACAAATAGTCTCAGGGAATATTGCTGTAACTCCTAATGTTACTTTGTTTTTCTTGATCAGGAATGCCATACTGCTGGATGTGACATCTTGTTCACTTGAGCAGAAGATAATCCTGTATGAGATCAGTAACAGCTCCTTCAGTTCACTGAATGCCACCTCACAAGACATTTACAACTTAATTAAGGGCTACCTTGGTAAAAAATACTTAGATCTTTTGTTTTCGTTATTTATCAGAGAGCTGGTTTCTAATAAAATCGTTTGTATATATGTTGATAGGAGGAGCCCCTCTGATGGACATCGTAGCATTATCAACACAGAACATCAATATGGCAATTGACATCTTCCTGAGTTTGGATATTAATGTGATTACTGTAAGTGTATGAAACTCGAAGAAAGACTGCACTGTTTGAATGAGCCTTCTCGCCAACTGCAAGTTCTAATTAAATTGTAAGACTATGTATGACTTCCAATTTAAGTGACTCTGCAATAAAGAAGAGTTCACTTGTCATTTGGCTCTTTATATGTAAAACTAAATAGTTCAAAATTGTTCCAAAAACTGCACATATATGTACTGCTTCAAAAAAAAAAAAAAGTAAACTGTTTTTTTCTTACTTTTGATTCACAGGGTTTAACTGTAACCAACGTTCAAGGCCTCTTGGGTGAAAACTTGCCAGATCTGAAGCTATTTGAGAACAACGCTGTGATACAAACCTGGGTGAATTTGCAGCAACAATCAGACCTGAACCGACTGGATGTGGGACTCATCAATAATAGGACAGATTTGACTACAGCAGCACCTACATCAATCAACATTGAAAAAAATGCAACTACATCAATAAAAGAATCAACAAATGCTACAACAGGAATTGAAGGGACAATGTCCACAAGCAGCAGTGTGTCTGTTGCTGAAATGTCTTCAACAAATGCTGCAACCAACTCTGGAGCATCAGTGTCAAATGCTGGAACCAGCAATGTGACAGTAACAACAAATCCTGCAACTGGTGCTGGAATGGCTTCAACAAACACTGCAACCACATCAGGAACATCAGGGTCAAATGTTGGAACCAGCAATGTGACAGGAGCAACAACTCATGCAACTGGTGCTGGAATGTCTTCAACAATTAATGCAACCAACTCAGGAACATCAGAGTCAAATAGTGGAACCAGCAATATGACAGTAACAACGCATGCAGCTGGTGCTGGAATGTCTTCGTCAAACACTGCAACCACAACAGAAACATTGGGGGCCAATGCTGGAAACAGCAATGTGACAGGAGCAACAGCTCCTGCAAGTGGTGCTGGAATGTCTTCAACAAATGCTGCAACCACATCAGGAACATCAGGGTCAAATGCTGGAACCAACAATATGACACGAGCAACAACTCCTGCAGCAGGTGCTGGAATGTCTTCAACAAATGCTGCAACCAACTCTGGAACATCAGGGTCCAATGCTGGAATCAGCAATGTGACAGGAGGAACAACTCATGCAACTGGTGCAGGAATGTCTTCAACAAATGCTGCAACCAACTCTAGAACATCAGGGTCAAATAGTGGAGCCAGCAATGTGACAGGAGCAACAACTCCTGCAACAGGTGCTGGAATGTCCTCAGCAAACACTGCAACCACATCAGGAACATCTGGGTCCGATGCTGGAACAAGCAATGTGACAGGAGCAACAGCTCCAGCAAATGTTGCTGGAATGTCTTCAACAAACACAGCAACCACATTAGGAACATCGGGGTCAAATGCTGGAACCAGCAAAGTGATAGGAGAAACAAGTCCTGCAACTGGTGCTGGAATGTCTTTAACACATGCTGCAACCACATCAGGAACATCAGGGTCCAATGCTGGAACCAGCAATGTGACAGGAGCAACAGCTCCTGCAAATGGTGCTGGAATGTCTTTAACAAATGCTGCAACCAACTCTGGAACATCAGGGTCAAATAGTGGAGCCAGC